CCCACATTGTGGTCCAGTTCCCTCATTTGACAAATGGGGAGACTGAGACCCAAAGTGGGTTGGAGGTCAATAGCCAGTTGGTGGTGACAGGCTGGGGAACCCACCTGCTGCTCCAAGCTGCCTCTCTGAGTATGGCGGTGAAGACCAAGGCCCCAGGTGGACTCCTTTCTTCCCCTGGGCTCTGAGTCTACCTCTGACAGATGAAGGCTCAGAACCTCTTTTCCTTCCTTGGTTTGTTTCCCTTCTGTGAATCAGGGAGAGTGGCTCTTGCCCTGGTCCGTGACTGCTGCCCAGTAGGGTTTCTGCTAGTTTGGAGATGATAATTTAGCAACAGACTAGTCTATTGTCTCCCAGGAGACTGGGCCCACTGGAGTGAAAACGTATTTCCATATCCCTCTGGCATTCCAGGCTCTGAAAGTAGTCTTTTGTTACACCTTGTGGTGCCCCCTGGGCCCCTGGAATTTACATACTCAAATGAGCCCTGCCCTTGGCATCTGTAGCAGGCCCAGCTGAGGCCCAGGCTGGGTCTCACTCCGCTCCCACCACACCCTGGGCTCCTGCCGAGTAGGCTGAACTCCTTCACCTACTTTTGCACAGGCTGTTTCTTTTGTCTAGAAGACCCTTCCCTTTTCTCTTCATCTACTGAACTTCTACTCATCCTTCAGACTCAGTCTAAAGGCCACTTCCTCCAGGAAGCATTCTCTGATTGCTAAATGCTCTTAACTATGCACTCCAGTAAGACCCCATCCTCATACTCTGTTTTCCCACACATTGGAGACAGCATGAGAGAGGACAGAAGTAAAAAAATCTGCTCAGTCTGGGGATGAGAGGAGCTGCAAGGGGCGAGGGAAACATGAGAAAGAAAATGAGGTTTTCGCAGTGTTTCTGCGATTTGCAAACATTATCTACTTTGTTGGATAATGTAATTGTTTGACTCAGCCAAGACCCCTTGGGTCATGGTCCCTAAGAGATTTGGTTATTTAATACCTTTCTTCCCATCTGGACTGTGAATTCTATTAGGACAGGAACATTTTCATTTTGTTCCCTGCTATATCCCCCATAATTAGCACAGTAACTTATACAAGCCACTTAACCACTCTGGGCTTCAGTTTCCTCATCTGTACTTTACTTCTGCTCTATGCCTTAATTTTCTATTCTGTAAAATGGGATGATAATTACCTCCCCGTGGCCAGACTGTTACACTGGGGGGGTCCCTAGGATTTGTGCTCTTGGTCAGTCCCCTCCCACACTGATTCTGGGCATAGCCATGTGACTTGGCCAATGGGCCATTAGCAAACCTGATGCAGCCAGAGGCTTAATAAGAACCTGCTCATGAGGGCTTGGCCCCTTGTCCTGCTCCATTTTGGAACCAAGCTGCTGCGCCATGAAGAAGCTCAGGCTGGGTGATTGGGTTGTGAGGGGCCAGGTGGAGGCTGAGCCATGTCTTGGACATTCTAGCCTGTGCAAGTGCCAACAGGATGCATCTGCACCTCACTTTACAACGACGAGCAGAAGAACCACCCAGCTGAACCCAGGCAACCCACAGGATCATGAGAAATAATAATTGCTGTTGTTTCAAGCTAGTAGGACTTGGGGTGGTTTGTTATACCAAAATAGATAACAAGAATCCCAGCCTATAAAGCTTATATGATGATTAAATGAATGAGTACACGTATAATTATAATACATGCAAAAAGCATAGTTTTATACTGAGCACTCAATACATTTTACCCATTATTATTACTGCTATCATCATAGTACATGGTCAGTAAATATTTGGCAAATAAAAAATTGAATCCCTGTCTCCCTTCCCCGTTTCCTCATTAGGCTCTCACCTGGGCTGAGAAGTCAATGAGTTTTGGCAAGGGCTGCTTGCTGCCCTCATCACTTTTCAGAAAATCCAGCAGGCTTCCTATATGGGGGATAGCGGAGGAAGGTTTACTACTCTTATTATTTAATGGCAAAAACCACAATTACTTTTGCACCAATCTAATACTTTAGATAGTGGTGAAGATTTTTCATAGTAGTAGATTTAAATAAAAATATTTGTTTGTGGCCGGGCACAGTGGCTCATGCCTGTAATCCCAGCATTTTGAGAGGATGAGGTGGGTGGATCACCTGAGGTTGGGAGTTCAAGACCAGCCTGACCAGCATGGAGAAACCACATCTCTACTAAAAATACAAAATTAGCCAGGCATCGTGGCGCATGCCTGTAAACCCAGCTACTCGGGAGGCTGAGGCAGGAGAATCACCTGAACCCAGGAGGTGGAGGTAACAGTGAGCCAAGACTGCACCATCGCACTCCAGCCTGGGCGACAAGAACAAAACTCTGTCTCAAAAAAAAAAAATTTTTTTTTGTTTGCAATTTCTAGTGTTTGAGAAAGAGAATTTGAGTTTTTGATTGCTAGGTGGGTTCTGTGACTGAGACAGCCCCTGGGCCTGGATGGCTGGGATCATGCCTTCACAGGACTGGCATAATTGCATAGTTGAAATGAAGAAGGCCGGAGGTTTCAAATCAGACTAAGTGGGATTGTGTGAGATGATTCTGTTTATCCAAAAATGGGCAGAGTGGCTAGGCATGGTGCTCACGCCTGTAATCCCAGCACTTTAGGAGGCCGAGATGAGAGGATCACCTGAGGCCAAGAGTTTGAGACCAGCCTGGGCAACATAGCAAGACTCAATCACTAGAAGAATTTTATAAATATATATGTTAGGCCAGGCTCAGTGGTTCATGCTTGTAATCCCAGAGCTTTGGGAGGGTTACTTGAGCTCAACTGGGGCAAGATGGCAAGACCTTGTCTCCAGAAAAAAATTTTAGAAATTAGCCAGGTGTGGTAGCGCATGCCTGTAGTCCCAGCTACTGGGGAGACTAAGTCAGGAGGATCCCTGGAGCCTCAGAGTTCAAGGCTGCAGTGAACTATGATCATGCCACTGCACTCCAGCCTGGGCAGGCAGAGGGCAACCCTATCTCTAAAAATAAATAAATAAATAAATAAATAAATAAAATTAGCTGGGTGTGGTGGCATGGGCCTGTGGTCCCAGCTGCTTGGGGGGTTGGGATGGGAGGATCACTTGAACCCGGGAGTTATGATTGCACCATTGCACTCCAGCCTGAGTGACAGAGCAAGACCCTGTCCCTAAAAAACAAACAAAAAATGGGCAGGGTTTGAAAATGGTTGTGAAACAGTGGCCTAAAAAGATTCCCCAAGAAATCCTGAGTTGTGTCAGGGTGGGGTGGGGACAGAGCAGCTGCTTTGCCAGCTTCCCTCTCCCAGGGGGTTGGCACGTATGGGGAAGGTGGCTGATGTGGGAGAGTGCCACCCCTGCACCCCGGCCTCTAAGGCTCATTGTGAACCACAAGCCCCTTCTCCCATCAACCGGGAGTATTCTGGCCCCATTACCTTCTCCTGGTAGCCCCATGTTCCCCATTCCCCTTGGTGGCCCCTTAACATGATCTCACCCCACTAACCATGAGGGCTGGATGGTTGCACTTTAGAATCTCAATGAGTGCTTGTTGGAAGAGCTCCTGGCCAGACTGGGGCCATCTCAAGGGCAAAAACCATGTCCAAGTCACCTTTGAACTCACAATTGACCAGTATAGGCCACAGCCCGCACCCCCAGCCCCAGCATGCAGCACCTTTGGCCATGAACTCCGTGATGATGTAGATGGGCTCCGCGGTGACCACCGCATGAAGTTTGACCAGCTTGTCGTGCTGCAGAGTTTTCATCACATTGGCCTCTGCCAGGAAGGCCTCCACCGACATGCTCCCTGGCTTCATCGTCTTTACTGCCACCTTGGTGTGCTTGTTGTAGGTGGCTGGAGGGGAACAAAGAGCAGGGAAGGTGGTCAGAGCTCACTGGTCTCCCGTACCAACCTAGAAGGCCCAGCTGCAGACCCGCCTCCTCCAGAAAGCCTTTCCTGCTCATCTCAACTCTCAGAGAGGGAAGTGAAGTCATGCATGCGCTTAGGCCTCACACAAATGTGGGTTGAAAGGCGGGCTCACCACTTCCCAGCTGTGCATACTAGGGCAAGTCACTTAACCTCTCTGAGCTGTGGCTTCCTCATCTGCAAAGTGGAAATGGTATGCCCTGCCTTTGAAGTGCTCTTGCAAGGATTTAAAAACAACTTTGAAATGCCACTCAGGTTATGTCACACACATACGCTGCCCACTTTCATCTTAACGCTGCTCTTAAATAAATGCCAGACTTACTATGATCCCCAGGCCCTGCATGGCCCAGCCTCATCCACCTCTCCAGCCTCATCAGCCACTAAGCTGCACTTGCCTTTTATGTGCCAGTCACCCTCCGGGTCACTCAGTCCCTCAAGCACCCAAGTCCCCTCCCACGACAGGGATTTGGCACATGCTGTTCCCTCACCTCATCCCACCCTGCTTCATTTGGTGGGTCTTGTCAATTTCATAATTGCTTGGCTTTCCATTTTGCCTTGGCTTCCAGGAAGCTCCAATCCAGAACCATGGACTTCCCGTAGTAGAAGTCTAGGGCCTTATATGATATTTTTGGCTTTCCAATCTCACCACTCAGATCTGTCTTATCTTCCTCTCCATATTTCCTCTTTTGTCAAATTCTTTTTAATTTTATTATTATTTCTCAGATAGAGTCTCACTCTATCCCCCAGGCTGGAGTACAGTGATGTGATCTCAGTTGCTTGCAACCTCCATCTCCTGGATTCAAGCGATTCTCCTGCCTTAGCCTCCCAAGTACCTGGGATTACAGGCTCCCACCACCACACCCAGCTAATTTATGTATTTTTAGTAGAGACAGCATTTCACCATATTGGCCAGGTTTGTCTTGAACAGCTGACCTCAAGTGATCCACTCACTTCAGCCTCCCAAAGTGCTGGGATTACAGGAATGAGCCACCGGAGGGGATTGCCCGGCCTTGCACGTAGCAGTATCTCAGTAAATACAGTTGAAATACATGGATTTTAAACTTATTTTTATCTGGCTGCATTGTTTGCATCCCTGTAAGTTGCCTTCACTCCTATTTGGAATGCAGTGAAGTATTAACACAGCAGGGTGCCCTACCCTGGGCTGGGCACTGCATCTACCCCACACCCCTGCAAAGCAGGCAATGTTGTTCTTAAGTTCTTGGGCAAAATCAGCAGGGGTGAGATATGCCTTTCTGGTTTTCCCACAAGACCCTAACACAGTGCTGGGCACATAGTAGGTGCTCAGAATATCCTGTTCATCAGTCGCCTGGAAATCTCCAAGCTTCATTTCCCCATTCTTAATTTTCATCATCCGAAGAGGCCTCTGGTTATCTCAATCCTAAACTGTTATACAGTCCCCACTCTACACGAGAGCGGGACTCCTCATCCATGACACCTGCTTCCCATAAGGAAGTTTTTGACCCCTACAGGACTGGTCTCAAAGGCAAATCAGTGTTTGCACAGCAAGACAATTTGGTTTGCTATCAGGGGAACTCCTTTCCGGCTACGATTTAAATCTGCCCTTCTGCCTTGGGTAGCATTTCCACTTTGCCATAAGGTGTTCCCGGAAGCAAGTAACTTCCCTCCCCACCCACCCACCCTCTGGCCCTGTGGGCTCTGGCCCTGAGTTCTTACCCATCCAGACTTCCCCAAACTGCCCAGCTCCAAGTTTCTTCTCTAGCTTGAGGGATTCCCGGGGGATCTCCCAGGCATCTTTCTCCCAAGGCTTCTGGGGCTTGGACGACATGCAGGGCACCGACAGTTTCTGGCAGAGCCCATCGCTCCCCTCTGGAAGAGAGTCCTCGGTCAGCTGAGGGCAACAAGCTCTGAGCCAGCCAGAGGTTGCCCCTCGGAGCCCCCCTGACTTGCCCCTCGGAGCCCTCCCTGTCTGGCCCTCTGTATCTGTCCAGAGTTCCACCTGGTTGCCACCATCAGAGACATGCCCAAGCGAGCAGAGTGTGACGGGGTGCCACCTCTACATCCTGGCCACCCCACCCTCCTGCTCAACAGTCCTAAACCTTCAGAAGCACCCAAAGCAACTATCTGTCTGGGGGAGGGCGAGGAAGGGCACAGCAGGTCTCAGGGGCCGCAGTGCATCTGCAACTAGGGGCCGCCAGGCCCATCTTGGAGTCGGGGGCGGAGGCAACCCCCAGGGTGGGACTCACTCTTGTAGTGGGCCACCAGCTCCTGTAGGGTGCTGAAGGTGCTTCGGGGGGATATGTAGAAGCCCCCGTTGTCCAGGGTCCGGATCTTGTAATGTTTCACGGTATCTCCCTGCCGAGGATCGTAGTCTCGCACGGACAAAGAGTAGCTTCCTGAATTGGCCAAAGAGAAACCCCTCAGAATGGCATCTCGGGGGCCTGCCACCTCATGTCAGCACTCTGACACCTCATAAGGCTACTGCTGGCACTGTCCTGGCACCTGGGCAGAAGTGCATGAAGGTCTGAGTAGGCTGTGGGAGCCAGGCATCCTGGGTTCTCAGCCAGGCATTACCACATTCACCCGTGAGACCTTGGCCACGTGACTACGTCACCTCTCTATGCCTCTGTGTCCTCATCTGTCAGATGGGGATAGTTCTCACGCCTCCCTACCTGATCCTGTTGCCTGATGGTTAAAAGAAGTCATGTCTGTAAACTAGTTGGAGTCTGAACACTCATCATCATCTTCAGTATTCCTGCTCTATCAATCTATCTTTCTATCATCTATCCTACAGAAAGCCAAGAAACTATACTATACTTTTTACTTTTTCATAAAAACTCAGGCTATGACTTTTCTGGAAAAAAATCCAGAGGTCCAGTTCACTTATTGAAATGTGAACGTGCTGTGGTAGGCTGAATAATGGTCTCTCAAGATGTTCACGCCATAAACCCTGAAACCTGGGAATATGTCACCTTACATGGTAAAAGGGACTTTAGAGATGTGATTAAGATAAGGGTCTGGAGTTGGGGGATTATCCCAGATGATCCAGGTAGACTCAATGTAATCAGTTGGGTCCTTGTTAGAGGGAGGTAGGAAGGTCAAAGTGGGAGAGGTGAAGATGGAAACTAGAGCTTGGAGAGGTGTCAGGAAGGGGCCATGAGCCAAGGAATGCTGTAGCCTCCTGGAAGCGAAACAAAGCAAGAAAATGAATTCTCCCCTGAAGCCTCCAGAAGGAACCAGCCCTGCTGACGTCCTGAGCCCAGCGAGGTCAGACTACTGACCCCAGAACTAACAGTTCTTGGAACAGATGTGTGTTGCTTTAAGCCACTAAATGTGTGTTAATTTGTTACAGCAGCAATAGGAACCTAACATACATATTAGGCTGGTGCAAAATAATTGCAGTTTTTGCCATAGAAAGTAGTGGGAAAAACTGAGATTACTTTTGCACCACCCTGTACTATCACATAGAGCAGAAAAACATAAGCCTTTCAGTTCATGACCACCGTTTTGCCATTTGTGAGCTATGTGCCCTTGGGCAAGTGATTAGCCCCTCTGTCTCAGTTTTCTCTACCATCAAAATACAAAGTCATAGGATTTGGTGGGGGTTAAACTGTGTTTTTTTAGGGGGGGGCCAGAGTCTCACTCTGTCACCCAGGTTGGAGTGCAGTGATGCAATCTTGACTCACTGCAACCGCTGCCTCCCAGGTTCAAGGGTTTCTCTACCTCAGCCTCCCAAGTAGCTGGGATTATAGGCGCCTGCTACCACGCCCAGCTAATTTTTGTATTTTTAGTAGAAATGGGGTTTCACCACGTTGGCCAGAGTGATCTCCAACTCCCGATCTCAGGTGATCCACCCGCCTCGGCCTCCTAAAGTGCAGGGATCACCGGCGTGAGCCACTGCGCCCAGCCTGAGGTCACACTTTATACAATGTACTTGGTTTATTTGAGTCAAGCAGTTGTGAAGCTAAATGTATTAGTCAAGTTGCACTCAGCGCATGAAACCTGAAATCACAAGAAACCTACTGATGTTCATTTCTTTGGGGCAATGAGCCTCAATCGATGCCGGTTTGAGATACGTGATGTTTTCCAGCCCTGGTCTTGCCATCTGTGCACCCAACCAGCATGAACCCACCCTTGCAGCACAGATGTTCCAGGAAGCTGGTCACCTGACATTAAAACTCCCAAAAGCTTCCCAGGAGCATTTTCAGCAGAGTCCCAGAGAAGGCTGGCTTGAGTCTCTTCTGGCGACCTCATCCTACCTCATTTCCTTATGGAGGGAGGGAAGGAGGAATGAGGCTTGTGGATAAGATATATTGTAATGGACATTTTATCTTATTTTTTTAGAGACAGGGTCTTGCTCTGTTGCCCAGACTGGAGTGCAGTGGCTCCCTTATGGCTCAATGAAGACTTGAACTACTGGACTCAAGCGATCCTCTGGCCTCGCCCTTCTGAGTATTGGGGAGTATAGGTATGCGCCACCACGCTTGGCTAATTTTAAAAAATTTTTGTAGTGATGGGGTCTCACTATGTTGCCCAGGCTGGTCTCGAACTTCTGGGCTTAAGTGATCCTCCTGCCTTGGCCTGCCACACTTGATCTATTATGGGTATTTAAAAAAACAAAAAAAACAAGGCCAGGTGTGGTGGCTCATACCTGTAATCCCGACCCTTTGGAAGGCTGAGGCAGGCAGATTGCTTGAGCCCAGGAGTTCGAGACTAGCCTAGGCAACATGGCAAAAACCCATCTCTACAAAAAAGAAAGAAAAGAAAAGGAAAGGAAAGGAGGAAAGAAGGAAAGAAGGAAAGAAGAAAGAAAGAAAGAAAGAAAGAGATAGAAAGAAAGAAAGAAAGAAAGAAAGAAAGAAAGAAAGAATTAGCCAGCATGGTGGCGTGTGCCTGTAGTCCCAGCTACTTGGGAGACTGAGATGGGAGGATCATTTGAGTCCAGGATGCAGAAGCTGCAGTGAGCTGGGACTGCACCACTGCACTCCAGCCTGGGCAACAGAGTGAGACCCTGTCTCAAACAACAAAACAAAACAAACAAATGAAAAACAAGTCAGTGAAGATCAAGCTTCAGCCAGATGTTTCTTTGTTTTCGGGGCCTAAGCCACATGGCACTCGTTCCACCGACTAAAGCTGGCAGCTATGGGGGATAAGAAAGGCGAAGCCAGGCACAGAGCCTCAACCCTCCCGGCTCAGGTAGCCAAGAGCAGGAGAAACCTGGCCGCTGCAGCACCCGGCTGGGTTGTTCAGCCTTTCCCAGGACATCTTCCAAGGGAAGGGTGGTGGCCAATCCTACCGGGCACACCTCTGCAGGGAGGACAAGGTGGGGAGGGCTGATGTCACCTTTCGTGGTCTCACTATCCCGGATCATGAAGGAGCCCAGCATGTTGCCAGGAGCCAGGAGTTGGCGCTCTGCGTCCTTCCGGCTGATGCCTTTGAAGAACCACCTGATGGAAAAGGGAGGAGACAGATGTGAAGGTGAGGATGGGCAGTCCTCACAGGGTGCCTGTGGCCGTGTGGGACCCAGGGGAAGTTAGGGTACAGAGGGCCTGGCTTCCCGCAGCATCAGTTTTACTCAAGGGTTTTTTTGGGGAGATAGGGGAAAGGAGCCATTCTTTTGATATCAGAATAGACATTTTACCAGAGGTGAATCCTGTCTGCTGAGACTGAAGCCTATGCGATTTGGGGGAACTTGCTTTAAGAAAAATAATACAGCATTGCAAGTACAAAGAGCTGATAGGTCATTCCAGTGCCACTAGCTGTGAGGGACAGGGAGATGGACAGGAAGTCAGAGTGGAAAGAGACAGGAGTCTTAACCAACTGTGGTCAAAGTCTTACTTTTGCAGATTTCACAAGCATATAAGACCACGGGGAAGATCTCTCTTGGGGTTTTGGAAGCCTGTGAAGGGCCTGGGTTTCGTTAGCTTTACAATCGATCCTCCTCTGCATATACTGAGTTGAATATAAATGAAGTTGGTATGAACTTCTAAGCTACAATGTGAGATTGGAAAGAACTTTATACTTAGGATCATGCCCTGGGCCCTTGTCTTCGTTCTTCCTGAATATTGGAGATATTGGGTGGAAAAGTTCAAGCAGCAGCAGCCGAATCCATTCCCACCTTCACTAGCGTGAGGAGCAGTTCGAAAAAAGCCGCAGACCTGAGCTGAGCCTGCCCTGGCCCTGCCACAAACCTGCAGTGTGACTTTGAGCAAGTGGCCTTCCTCTTTGGGCCTTTGGTTCTTCTGTTATTAACTGGTGAGGAAGCGAACATCTATCTGGTAATCTATCCAACAACTCTACGGAGCTGTCACCTTTATCATTCCCATTTTTTGTTTTTTGTTTCTTTTGAGACGGAGTCTCGCTCTGTCACCCAGGCTGGAGTGCAGTGGTGTGATCTTGGCTCACTCCAAACTCCGCCTCTCGGGTTCAAGCAATTCTCCTGCCTCAGCCTCCTGGGTAGCTGGGATTACAGGCATGCACCACTGCACCCAGCTAATTTTTGTATTTTTAGTAGAGATGGGATTTCACCATGTTGGCCAGGCTGGTCTCGAACTCCCAACCTTAAGTGATCCCCCAGCCTCAGCCTCCCTAAGTACTGGGATTATAGGTATAAGCCACTGCACCTGGCCCCATTTGATAGACGATGAAATTGAGGAACAGAGAGGGCAAGTAACTTGCCCAGAGTCACACAGCTGGGAAGTTGTAGAGGCAGGATTTGAAGCTAGGCAGTCTAACTCCAGAACCAAAGCTCTTAATCACCATGCTATGTGGCCCGTCTACCTTCTTTGCTTTCATGTTGTAAACTGACTTGTGCCATGGTAAAATATTCAACATTGTAAGAGTAAGAACTGTCTCCCTGACAATTCTGCTCCTAGGAAGTTATCCCATAGACCTTGCACAAGGAAGAAGTGACGTATCCCCCAGGAGATTCGCTCCAGTACATGACTGGAAATGACTTGTGTCCACTGTATCGGACAGAGGTTAAATGGTTGTTGGACATCTACAGGACAGATGCCCTCTGGTAGAAAAAGGAAGGAGGTGTACAGTGGACGGTCTGAACAAGAGTACGGAACAGTGTGTGTGGCGTCTACCACTTGGGTGAGATAAGCGGGAAGAGATGTCTTTTCTTATACAAGGAGGAAGCATCTGTGAGGACTCACGAGAAACTGGTTGCTTTTGGTGGGGGGGAGTGGCTGGTTGGGGACAGGGTGGGAGGAAGACTTTTCACTCTCTCTTCTGCAGGCTTCCCCACATTTGCATTTGAATCATTTGGAAGTATTGCCTCTTTCCTATTTCAAGGGGGAGTGAGAGAAACTAAGATTCCAACCTGCCCCATTCCCAAGGTCCCAGTTGCGCTCCCTAGAGGCAACATCTGTTAGGAGTTTCTTGATTTAGACACAAGGGCCCCTGAGTGCACTGAAAGGACAGATATGTGTATTTATTTTTGAGACAGAGTCTCGCTCTGTTGTCCAGGCTGGAGCGCAGTGGTGTGATCTCGGCTCACTGCAACCTCTGCCTCCCAGCTCAAGAGAATCTCGTCTCAGCCTCCTGAGTAGCTGGGATTACAGGCGCCTGCCATCACACCTGGCTAATTTTGTATTTTTAGTAGAGGCGGGGTTTCACCATGTTGGCCAGGCTGGTCTGGAATTCCTGACCCCAGGTGATTCGCCTGCCTTAGCCTCCCAAAGTGCTGGGACTACAGGTGTGAACCACCGCCCCCGGCCAGATATATGTATTTAGATCAGCGGTTCCCAAGATGGGTCCCTGGAGCAGCAGCAGCTGCTGCCGCCTCGCCTGAGAACCTGTTAGAAATACACATCCGGAATCAGACAGCGGGGCCCAGAAACCACTTGTTAGCCCCACTCCAGGTGGTGCTGATGCTGCTCAAGTCTGAGGACCCCCACCTAGGTTATTGCCTTGGTTTGCAATGATAACCCCCATTCATGTTGTCTACACCCTGCCTTTTCCACTTAGCAATTATGTTGCCTTTGAGAAATAATACCAGCCATGCTTCCTCCAAGATTGGACTGCATGAGGGATTCTGTAAGCATTCAGGCTCTGGAGTGGAGAAACAGAGCATGGGACGACCCAGGGAAAAGCCCAGAAGCAGGACAGAGAAGCTGCTAAGAGCCCCCAGTTCCATGAACATTAAAATAGGGTGGCCTTATTTTTGTTTGTTTGTTTGTTTTAAGACAAATATCACTTTTGTCCCCCAGGAAGGAGTGCAGTGGCATGATCTTGGCTTACTGCAACCTCTGCTCCCGGGTTCAAGCGATTCTTCTGCCTCAGCCTCCTGAGTAGCTGAGGCTACAGGCATGCACCACTGCGCTCAGCTGATTTTTTTGTATTTTTAGTAGAGATGGGGTTTCACCATGTTGGTCAGGCTGGTCTCAAACTCCTGACCTCAGGTGATCCTCCCGCCTTGGCCTTCCAAAGTGCTGAGATTACAGGTGTGAGCCACCATGCCCGGCCAGAAGGGGGTGGTGGAAAAAGCTTAAATGTTTTCATTTTCAACAGGCAAGCATCCCAAACCCATAGTACCATCTAGCTAGAAAGAGGAGGCAGAAGAGAGAAAACAATGGGGACTGTCATCTTTCAACTTTTTGACTGGCTGGTTTTTTTTTTTTTTTTTGGGACGGAGTTTCGCTCTTGTTACCCAGGCTGGAGTCCAATGGCGCGATCTCGGCTCACCACAACCTCCGCCTCCTGGGTTCAGGCAATTCTCCTGCCTCAGCTTCCTGAGTAGCTGGGATTACAGGCACGCACCACCATGCCCAGCTAATTGGCTGGTTTTTAATTGGATGTACTGTCGCCCCACAATGTAGTCGTATTTTTACTCATCAGCCTCACCCACCATACAGGGAACATCTCCAGCAGGGAGCCCTATCTGAGTCATCTTGTATCCCTGGAATGGGGCCACATATACAGCAGGGAATCAACAGGTATCTGCTGGATGATGGATGGATGGATGGATGGAGGGAGGGAGGGAGGGAGGGAAGAAGGGAGGGAGGGATGGAGGGAGGGAGGGAGGGATGACTGAAATATACTTTTAGAGTCAAGCTAGACACAAAGAAGAACGCACAGCCAAGAAAGAAGGGTTACAGGGAGCTCCTTGAGGATAGGGATATGTCTTATTTGTTTTCACAGTCCCTTAACCTGGCACAGGACTTAAAGAGTCATGGGCATGTGTTTGTCAAATGAATCAAATGAGGGATGGGCCAGGTGCAGTGGCTCAGGCCTGTGATCCCAGCACTTTGGGAGGCTGAGGCGAGAGGATCACTTGAGCCCAGGAGTTCAAGACCAGCCTGGGCAACATGGGGAGACCCCCATCTCTACAAAAAATACAAAAAAGAAAAAAAATTAGCTGGGCATGGTGGTGCGCACCTGCAGCCCCAGCTATTCGGGAGGCTGAGATGAGAGGATCACCTGAGCCTGGGTAGGCTGAGGCTGCAGTGAGCTGTGATGGCGCTACTGCATTCCAGCCTGGATGACAGAGACCTCGTCTCAAAACAAAACAAATGCGGGATGACTGGCCAGGTGTGAGCTGTCTCGCCTCTCCAGAGACCCTTCTTGGCTGCATGCCAGCCTGTGCCGAGGATGCAGCAGCAGACCAAGTCCCCGCTCTCACCAGCTCTCTTCCTGGCAGGGCAGGCAGAAAATGCACACATGACCAACCAAAGAAACAAGGCCGTTTTGCTAGTAAAACATGTTCAGAAGGGAATAAAGCAAGATTTCCACAAGACAGAGTCACAGCAGGGACCCACTTTAGCGTCTCTTCCCTGACAGGAAGGATGAAACCCGAAGAAAGAGAAGGAGCCAGCCAAACCCATGAGCCCTGGGAAGCGTGTGTGCCAGGCAGGGGACGGTGTGTGCAGAGGTCTGGAGATGCAAACAAGGCTGGCTTTGCTCATGCCCCCTTCTGGAAGGCAGGAAATAGGATACTTACTCCTCTGTCTCCAGAGAGTCAACGCGGGCGACATAGTTGCTTGGGATGTAGCCCTCTTTCCGGGTGGCCAGGGACCGGGCCTTCCACCACTCCCCGGATCTGAGGGACAGGAGGGAGTGGAGGTGTTAGGGGGCAGAAGGGTCATTCTCCAGTCCCCTCAAGCTCTCCTTGACCTAGAAAACCCCCTGCCTCCAGAAAGCAGTAGGGTGAGGGACAGGGCTGTGACTATGTCAGCATGTGCCCATGATTAGGGCAGGGATCCTTACAGTGGTTCTCACTGGGCATCTAAGGGTCTGGAATCACCCTGTCCACAGCCCACAGCCCTGAGTCTCTGGCTCCACTCCTCTTCCCTGGACTTGCAGCTTTGGCCTTATTACCCATAGCCATGGCAGGGCCCTGTGCCCATGGGAGACTCAGAACGGTTCAGCTGGGGCTGAGAATAGGGGAGAGTGGGCTTGGGGGTCTGACCAGGCACGACCACTCCCATTCTCAGGCTTCAGCACCTCCTGGACACTATACCCACGGACGGTGAAGGCTGTAGGGGATCAGGTGTGGCAAACTCAGAGATCCAAGGGTTTTCTAATGCAAGGTCACCTCGATGACCCTGGTCCACAGGTAAGCCGGTAGCTTAATCACAAGAAAGCGTCACCTGTTCACCCCAGGCTGGACGTGCACTCTCAGGAAGTGCACAATCCCCTTCGTCCAGGTTGGCAGCAAATTGTGATCAGCTTTGTGATCAGCTATTGTGATCAGCTTCTCATTAGCCATGTCTACCCAGGACAAGATAGCCCATCTATCAGGTTCTTTATGGGAGCATAGAAGAGTACACAGTTGGGTAGAGGAGGCAGGCCTGTCTTAGGCGGAGTGGGAGGGGGACTCACTCCTCCAGGACCACCATCTGGTCCCCCTTCTGGAAGCTGAGGTCTTCGTGGTGAATGGCCTCGTAATCATACAGGGCAACCACAACGATGTCCTCTGAGCCTGCTGGGAAGGGAGACACAAGGAAGGTGGGGTTTTGTCTAAGTGCACCCACAGCCCTGGGTGACCCTCACCCAGCACCTGGCACAGCTCTGGGCCCATTGCTTGGTGGCTCCTAGTATAAGTGGGTGTCTCACCATGCTGGGTATGATTCTCAGGTTTAAAGCTAAATGTGTTTTGTTCATGTTACTAAACAGCGTTCTAGAAACACAATAGCCCGTGCAAAGTACCTCAGAGGAAATTTCAGGTATTCTCAAGAGGGGTTTGGCTGTTTGGGATTTTTGACTCAAGCTCTGAGTGGGAACCTAGCGGAATCCTCTGCAGGACACGTGACTCCACTGCATCTGCTCAGAGATACTTACCCTCCCCGATTCCTGGTGGGCTGCTGTTGTTGCTATTAGGCCCCTGTGGGGAAGAAACAGGAGAAGGGAATGAATCTGAGCGGTGTGCAGGGATCCGTGGAAGGTCTGTGTTGAGAAGGATACCCAAGAGCATCTTACCCTAGCCCTGCACGTCACGGGAGGAGGCCCATATAGGGCGGGGGACATGCCTGGCACTACACAGCACATTAGGGGCAGAGCCAGCAAAATGATCCAAGTTTTTTTTTTTTTTTTTTTTTTGAGATGGTGTCTCACTCTGTCAGCCAGGCTGGAGTGCAGTAGCACAATCTCAGCTCACTGCAACCTCTGCCTCCTGGGTTCAAGTGATTCTCCTGTCTCAGACCCCTGAGTATCTGGGATTACAGGCACACGCCTGCACGCCCAGCTAATTTTGTATTTTTAGCAGAGACTTTAGTAGGGGTTTCACCATGCTGGCCAGGCTGGTCTTAAACTCCTGACCTCAGGTGATCCACCCACCTTGGCCTCCCAAAGTGCTGGGATTACAGGCGTGAGCCCCTGTGCCCGGCCAGGATCCAGGTTTCTTGAGTTGTGGCCTTGGCCTTCGGTCTCAGACATACCAGGGGATACTGCTTGACCCTTCCCCTCAACACTCAGTGAGGGGGTTGGTCCAGATCGGTGTTTTCTGACTAAATTTGAAGAAATCATAGGTCCACCAATGATTTATATTCCATAAATAGAGGCTCCATTATGTATGTGAAACAATCTAAATGTCCATCCAAAGGGGAAGTGTCACCTAAACTGTGGTGTTCTAAGCAGGCTTTTTTTTTTTTTTTTTTTAAAGAGACAGGGTCTCCCTGTGTTGCCAGGCTGGAGTGCAGTGGTGTGATCATAGCTTACGCAGTCTCGAACTCCTGGGTTCAAGCAGTCCTCCTGCCTCAGCCTCCCAAAATGCTGGGAGTATACGTGTGAGCCACTGCACCTGGTCTGTGTTTTTATTTTCAAAAGAACGTATTTGTGCGTTGCACCTGTAAGTAAACATTAATATGAAGAAACAAGTTTGGGAAACACTGAAAACTACATCCTATTTTTGGGAGCTTCGCAAAGCCCATTACAAAGATTCACAAAGGCTCAGGGCAGTCCAGCAGGGAGGGAGCCTGTTACACTCAATGTTTTTCAAACTGCTTTGACCCCAGAGCCCTTTCTCTGATGATTATTGACACCCTATCCTGAAATAATCCTGTGTAGGTAACAATTAGCCCTTAACTGATTTACACTGAACTAAAGCCCTGCAGGAGGGGAACAGTAAATGCCTTGGTAACTGCTGCAGGAGAACAATGAATACCACCTGGTAACTGCATCTCTCAGGTCTGATGCTCAAAAAGGACGAGAAACTGGTGAGGAAACCCTCTACTTCCTGCTGATGACAAGCCAGAGGGCCTCACCGGTCAGGAGAGAAGCATACATGGGAGTGACTTAGGGTTTATAGTCCGAGGTCAGCTCAGGATATCACCAGAGTGAGAAGTATGTGTAATTTCAGGCTGTATTAACAGAGGTCAAGTGTCAGAGGGAGGAAGGTGACTATTCCATCATTTTCCCATTTCCAGAATTAGTTCTATTCTAGGTATAGTGTCTGGTGAAGGGCAAGCAGGATGGAAAGGGGCCAGGAACCCTTGTCCTGTGAAAGATGGTTTGGAAGGGATGCATGGGCTGGGATATGATCTCTGCCTTCAATCTCTGTAAGCTGTTATGGGGCAAAGGGAGTGGATGTGTTTTGATCAAGGAGTGAGTGTCATGAGAGTAACAGGTCTTTCTTTAATATAAGAAAGAACTTTCTAAGGGGTCACCCCAGGAAGGACTGCACCCCACCTTGGGAAACATCAAACGCAGACTGAGCTCCCAGAGAAAACCACAGATAAGACATGGACTCAAGGGCCACAGAGGAGAGAGAACTCCAGGTTTAGGGCCGGAGAGACCTGACTCTACCACTTCCCAGCCAGGGGACCCTGGGGGCCATTTAACCCCTTTGAGCCTTCGTCATTCCTGTACAGTGGCAGAACTCCTGCCCCTCAGCTTTTGGTGAAGATTAATGAATAGGAACACCTCCGTCCAGTGCCTGGAACACAGCAGGTGTTCAAAGAACGGCAGTGATCATTCCAGCTGTTCCTGCTGCTGTCAGTACTGCCATCATCATCCCAGTGCTAGTACTGTTACTTTATTACATTATTACTGCTCCCACGGCCCTTACTATCACAAACACCAATGCTAGAGAAGCTACGACCATGGCTGCCACTATTTCCATTACAGCTCCTGCCACCATTACCACGGCCGCCATTACCATGGCCACCATCACCGTTACTGCTGTCCCTTCAGTTGCATTGGGCTTCTGCCTGTTACGCCAGCTGCTGCCACTGGCACTCTGGAAGTTACCCTGCCCTGCCCAAGTTTGAATACTGGCTCCATGGCTTACTATCATGTGGGTTTAGGTAAATTATCTGAACTCTGTAAAATATTAAGCCAATTTGCTGGGCACAGTGGCTCACACCTATAATCCCAGCACTTTGGGAGACCAAGGCGGGTGGATCACGAGGTCAAGAGATCGAGACCATCCTGGTCAACATGGTGAAGCTCCATCTCTACTAAAAATACAAAAATTAGCAGGGCATGGTGACATGTGCCTGTAGTCCCAGCTGCTCGGGAGGCTGAGGCAGGAGAATCACTTGAACCTGAGGTGGAGGTTGCAGTGAGCCGAGATTGCACCACTGCACTCTAGCCTAGTGACAGACAGAGAGAGACTCCATCTCACAAAAAAAAAAAAAAAAATTCAGCCAATTACAAAATAACACCAGTAATACAGTGCCTTGACTGTTATTTAACATATTGTTTGAGCCATGTTATGTGACCTCATCTTTGTCATTTAATATGAAAATGGGCCAGTGCAGTGGCTCATGCCTGTAATCCCAGCACTCTGGGAGGAGAAGGCTGGTGGATCGCCTGAGGTCAGGAGTTTGAGTCCAGCCTGGCCAACATGGTGAAACACTGTCTCTACTAAAAATACAAAAAAAAATTAGCCAGGCATGGTGGCACGTGCCTGTAGTCCCAGCTACTCGGGAGCCTGAGACAATAATTGCTTGAACCTGGGCAGCGGAGGGTGCAGTGAGCTGAGATGGCGCCACAGCACTCCAGCCTGGGCAACGGAGTGAGACTCCACCTCAACAACAACAACCACAACGACAACAAAACAATGAGGCCGCCCCCTTCTCTAACTGTTTTGTACAGAGCTGCTTGTCTGTACTGTTTGCTCTGAGCTGACGCTGCACTGAGTATTTCCCCAGCAGAGGTTATCCTCATCCCATTCTAGGGATTATTACCCCAAATTATAAAATGGCCTGCAGCCTCATCCATAAAATGGGTATAATGGAAACGGTTACCTGGGATAGGATTATTGTGAGGATTAGGGTGCTAGGAGCCATGAAGGCTCAGAACAGCGCCTGGTTCCTCGTCAGCTCTGTGTAAGCATAAAATAAGTTGGGAATACTGCTCCTAGAATGACTGCTTCTCTTTTTACAACTCTTGCTGTGGTTCGTGCTGCTGCTCTTGCTGCTATACTCGTGCAGTTAGGGTTGGTACTGTTACTACGACAATTGTTACTCATTTTCGCAATGCTGCTGATACTACCACTACGTCCTCACTTCAGCTGCTGTTATTACTGCTGGTTACTCACGACTCCCAGCACTGCTTTTGCCTCCGCCCGGGCCCAAGGCCTCAGATGCTCATGCACACCTGTTTGGAGGAGCCCAGGCTGATGGGCCAAGCCCAGGCTGCAGGACAAGGAGAGGTGACTTCCTTGCTCCTATGCATCCTGGTGCTGCATCCGGAGAGTCTGAGCACTGTGGGTGGCCAGTCAGCTTCATTTCACCCCAAGCTCACCCTGCCCAGTCTTGGAAAGACAGGAGGCTGTTAGGGCAATGTTGGGGCAGCATCCGGCAGCCCCCAGGGAAACTGGGACCTCCCCTACTCACCGGCTTGATGGTAGATGTGGGATCCGGCACGTACACAGGGCAGTGCGGGTTGGCGCTGGGTTCAGTTTTTGAGAATGTATTGTCTCCGGCCCGGAGGAACTTGGACTTCACGCACCCCATCCTGCAACAGACAGAAGGGAGGTGAGCCCCGGTTACCCAGAGCCCCATGCAGGGAAGTTTCTGATGCTGGCGTTCTGTGTCCCCTGCCCCCACGCTGGCTCCCACTGGCTGTCCCACTCTTAACTCCCCTGCCAGCTCCATGCACCCCCATCCTCCCCACATGGAGCCCACTCATCCTTGCCACCTCTGGGCTTCCCCATGTCCATGTGCCACAGCACTGGCCCAGAGCTGACAAGCTGTCATTGTCATGGGTACCAAGGACCAGCATGATGGGACTTTATTCAGAGGATGGCATGAGGATAATAGAAATGTAACAGGTGGAGCTATTGGGGGGCAGAGTGGGGAGCGGGTGGTGGGCACTGCCAGCTCTCAGGGCAGAAAGCCTCACCGATCCTCGGCTCCTCCACCCCACCAGCACCTCACTGACTGCTTTCCTGCACCCTAGCAACCTCTCAGGTCCTCAACGGCAAAATGGGGACAATAATAAAATCTACGGTGGAGAAATACTCCAGCGCAGTGTCAGGCTCAGAGTAAACAGTACAGAAAAACTATAGTATCGTCAGATGATAAATTGCCATTTTTATATTAAATGATAAGACGAGGTCACATAACATGGCTCAAACAATCTAGTTTAATAATAGTCAAGGCACTGTATTCCTGGTATCATTTTATAAATGGCTTATAACTCCCTCCCTCCCTCCCTCTCTTCCTGCCTTCCTTTTCTCCTTCCCCCTCCTCC